AAAGGAATAAAAATAAACAAAACACACAGCCTCCATTGTAGTATTGCTAGTTACAACAGTACAGTTAACTGTTAACAGGCTGATGAATGACAAAACTCTTTAAAACTTTAAAGCTTTAAATCTTTAGATACATTTAGAGTCTCAGCTGTAAGGGTAAATACAGAAGAGTCTAGCTGTGCATAGGCAGAAAAAAAGCATAAAAATGGCATAAAAACTGTGTAAAGTGATGACTCGTACACAAAATATGGCTTGATGGAATAATCCAGTGAGAGCAGACCACAATGAACACTGCGCATCAAGATTTGATCAATAGATTGAAGCACTAAAACCATGTCAACTCAACTAACATCTTACAAAAATTAATCCAGATAATGAATAATATTAATTTATTGAATAATCTATAATAATATAAATGTATTGAATAATACAATAAAAAAAATTAAGTACAGTTGTTAATTTGAGGGGGTGGCGTCATTTTTATTTTTGGGGGGTCCCCAAAATAATTCGCCCTACACAAAGGGGCCCTCAGCTGAAAAAGTTTGAAAACCCCTGCCTTAACCCACCCTTAAACCTACCCATGCCACCAAACCTGTCCATAACCCAACCTCTATCCCAACTCAAAAGCACCACAAGTGTTCTCAAATACATCATAAACACAGTAAGTACATTGTATTTATTTTTTAATGGAAGTACATAGTAGTTAAGGACACTTAATATAAAGTGGGACCGATGGCTGCAATATGACAAAGAGTGAAAAATGTAAGGGGGAACACTTTCCGTACCCACTGTAAATAAACACGTCCCGTGACTCTAGCACTTAATTGTCTAAGCACTAACAGTTCCATTGTTTAATTAGCACTTCATGTGTGCATTGCCGCCTCTTGTTGAATCGCTGAATACCTCCTTAATTGTACATTTAAATGTATTCAATTCAATTCTATTCTCCTGTTACAAATAGCTTTAGACAGTATTATCACATCTTAAAGTCAACAGAGATCAAACAATAATGACCACTGATTCATTTTAAGATTTGCATTCAGATTTTGGCCATCAAGTTAACTCCATGCCAAATCTAACACTCGTAAATAAGTTAATCAAATGCCTGACTCTGTGTAACCATTAAAAATGACAAAAAAAAAGTGGAGGAATGACATCAGATATCGTCCATTGCTCGCTTTCCACAGGAGCCGAATCAATCCACCGTGAGAAACGAAAGAGTGAAGCGTTTGTATTGTTTTGCAGCCAGTCCTGTAGCACTATTGCTGCTCAGCTCTGGAACTTAATTAACTTACTTCATTATACCAGCCCACCAGAGACCACTGATAAGCCCGTGAGTTGTTTGCTTTCCAAGTTCACTGAAACGTGGAGGGCTAATGTTATAGACACAATAGGATAGGGCATAGTAAACTGACAGATTAACCCGAATGCGTGTGGGTTGTCCACACAAGCTACATCTTTATTAATTTGGATACATTTAAGAGTGGCGTTTTTGTTTTGAAATGCTGTGTGTCCACGTAAGCACTCTCAATCCTTTTATCATCCACCTTGAAATCACCAATCATTTTATTAATCAATTATCCCATTACTTTTTGCTTATTTAGTATTTTAAACGTTTAAAGGCGTTTAAAAAATATGTATATTTTGCGGATCAATTATTAAATTAAATATCCGAGGTAATTTTTTTAGAAAATATGCAAACATTGTGAAATATTACTCAAATTTAAATGTCTTTTTTGGCTTGTAGTAACTTTAAAGTGTCATTTATTTCTGTGATGCAGAGCTGAGTTTTCAGTGTCACATTGTGCTACGCTTATTTTCTGATCAAGAAACATTTTGGATTTGTTATTTAGAATAAAAACACTTGTGTGCCTTCATAGATTGCCATCTTGTTGGCCTGCTTAGAGCATGTTGTGGGGATAAAAGGAAGTGCCCTGGATTGGTTTAAATCCTATCTGTCCAATCGCAGTTTTAAAGTCACTGTTGGAGAACATTCATCTGAGGCAGCACATTCGTCATGTGGTGTTCCCCAGGGATCTATTTTAGCCCCTATTCTTTTCTCCTTATATATGCTTCCTCTGGGCTCTATCTTTCGAAAACATGGTCTGCCTTTAAAACCAAGTTCAAGTGGGCTAGAGACCCTTATGCTATGCTTGTCGGGTGTGAGAGACTGGTTGTCCTAGAACTTTCTAGATTTTAATGAGAGTAAGAGTGAAATTATTTAGTTCGGTCCGTCAAACTCTTCCAGAGCCACAATGGTTAAACTAGAAAAATTATGTTTTTCTATGAAACCCTGGGAAAAAAATCTGGGTGTTATTCTGAGTGATGGCTTGAGCCAAACAGATAAATGCAGTGGTCAAATCCCAATTCTTTCAGCTTCGACTTCGACTGTCAAATCTATTTAATCTAGAAACAATAATCCATGCTTTTATTACCACTAGACGGGACTTTTGTTACTCATTATACTTTGGGCTTAGTCAGAAAGCCTTATCTCGCTTACAATTAGTTCAAAATGCTGCTGCAAGGCTTTTAACAGGGACCAAGAAGCATGACCACATAGCTGCCTGTGCACTATCAAGTCACTTTTAAGATGCTTCTCTTGGTTTTTAAATCTCTAAATGGCCTGGCACCTTCTTATCTGTCAGACATGTTAATTGAGTATCAGCCTGGTCAGTCTCTCGGTCATCTAACCAGAGACTGTTATGCATCCCTGAGTCGAGGCTGAAATGCAGAGGTGACCGTGCCTTCGCAATAGCTGGTCCTCGGTTGTGGAATGCTCTGCCCCACTGTATTAGATCTGTTTCATCCCTGTCTGTTTTTAAATCTTGGTTAAAATCTTACCTCTTTGATTTGGCATTTTAGCGGTGAAAATTGTCCGTTTAAGCTAGAGTTTTATAATATATATATATATATATATATATATATATATATATATATATATATATATATATATTTGTTTCTCTGTTTTGATTTGTACTGTGCAGCACATTGTTAAATAGTGCCATATAAATAAAATTGACATTGTCATGGATTTGTGTTGAAGTGAAGCTTATTTATAAACAATCACGAGCTTATGATTGACCACAGCTTGTCCCACATTAGTTAACACATGATTTACCAATCAGATGCAGCCAAACACACTGTAAATAACCAGATTTTCTTACCTTAGTTTCTTTGCCTTTAAGAATCCCCTATCCATGCCTACTCCTCCCCCTCTTTCCTAGATTAATCAAGGATACGGTGGCACGGCAGCTCAGTGGTTAGCACTGTTAGAAGGTTGCTGGTCCCGGCCGAGCCAGTTTGTGTTTCTGTGTGGAGTTTGCATATTCTCCCCATGCTCGCGTGGGTTTCCGGCCACAGTCCAAAGAGAAGTGAATTGATCAAATCAAATTGGCACAATATATGAGCAATTAGTCTAGGCTTCTAACATATGCCGTTCAGTTAGCAGAACACCACGCCCTGGCAATGTCCAACAATCAATAATAGTCTCAAAGAACTAATCCAGGGGAGTTCTCGAGACCTACCAGAGCTCAGACTCCCCTCTCGCCTTTGCTCAATACTTTGTTGATGCACCTTTGACAGCAATTACAGCCTCAAGTCTTTTAGAATATGATGCCACAAGCTTGGCACACCTGTCATTGGGAATTTTTGCCCATTCCTCTTTGCAGTACGTCTCAAGCTCTATCAGGTTGGATGGGAAGCCACGGTGTACAGCCATTTTCAGATCTCTCCAGAGATGTTCAATAGGATTTAGGTCTGGGCTCTGGTCCGACACCTGATGTCAAGAGCACTCTGAAGCAGGTTTTCGTTCAGGATGTCTCTGTACATTGCTGCATTCATCTTTCCCTCTATCCTGACTAGTCTTCCAGTCCCTGCTGCTGAAAAACATCCCCACAGCATGATGCTGCCACCACCATGCTTCACTGTAAGGATGGTATTAGCCTGGTGATGAGCAGTTCCTGGTTTTCTCCAAACGTAACGCCTGGCATTCACTCCAAAGAGTTTAATTTTAGTTTCATCAGAGCAGAGAATTTAGTTTCTTATGGTCTGAGAGTCCTTCAGATGCCTTTAGGCAAACTCCAGCCGGGGAGTGTCTTCCGTCTGGCCATACAGGTCACTCTACCATACAGGCCTGATTGCTGCACAGATGGTTGTCTTTCTGTAAGGTTCTCCTCTCTCCACAGAAGAGGACTGGAGCTCAGACAAAGTGACCATCGGGTTGTTGATCACCTTCCTGACTAAGACCCTTCTCCCCCGATCACTCAGCTAGATGGCCGGCCAGCTCTAGGAAGAGTCCTGATGGTTACAAACATTTTCCACTTACAGATAATGGAGACCGCTGTGCTCACTGGAACTTTCAGAGCAGCAGAAATGTTTCTGTAACCTTCCCCAGCCTTGTGCCTGGAGGCAATCCTGTCTCTGAGGTCTACAGACAATTCCTTTGTCTTCATGCTTGGTTTGTGCTTTGACATCCACTGTCAACCATGGGAGCTTATATAGAGAGGTGTATGCCTTTTTAAATCATGTCCAATGTACCTGAGCTCAATTTAGAGCTTCACGCCAAAGGCTTTGAATACTGATGTACATGTGATTTTTTTTATTTATTTATTTTTTTAGGTTTTTTATTTTTAATAAATTTGCAACCATTTCAAAAATAAAATCCACATTGTCATTATGACAATATTGTGGGTATTGTGTGTAGATTGTTGAGGAAATAAATGAATTTAATAAGGCTGTAACAAAAAAAATGTGGAAAAAGTGAAGCACTATATGAATACTTTCCAGATGCACTGTAGGAGAGGAGGTTCATCCATCATCTTCATCTGAACCCCTACATTGTATAAGGTCATTATAGTCTTGCTGATTAATGGTAACATTGCATTGTTAATGTCCTAAACAGTCTCAAGCGGAGAATCCAATGAGTGTAAATAGCAGAAAGCTGAATGCAGACCACCAGCGCTGAGCTCATGGTGTGGTGTGTGTGTGTGTGTGTGTGTTGACAGGGCCGGGGCAGGAGGAGTGTATTCAGTGTGCGCAGGGCTTCTTGCAGCAGGAGTGGAGATGTGTTCGTTCCTGTGCTCCCGGATACTACAGTGGAGAAGCTGCAGGATTCACACAGAGGATGTGCCGCAAGTGAGTCTTCAGTTACTCCCCCACTGCATTCGCACTGTCTCATATTCATCTTCATTCTCTCATACTCATTGGTGGACACAAAGCACTTGAGTTAAACGTGTAGATACCATAAACAAATATTACTATAGTGTAAAGTACAGATGTGCTTGTTTGTTTTTTATGTGCTGGGGTGTTTGGGTGTACAAGTATTATGTTGAGTTGTTGATTAAGGACTCCCTCTGAAACTTTTGAGTCAGTAAATCATTGACTAGAGGTTTGCTCTGACTGGATCTTTTGAGTCAATGAATCATAGACTGGAGACTGGATCTTTTGAGTCAATGAATCGTAGACTGGAGACTGGAACTTTTGAGTCAATGAATCGTAGACTGGAGACTGGATCTTTTGAGTCAATGAATCGTAGACTGGAGACTGGATCTTTTGAGTCAATGAATCGTAGACTGGAGACTGGATCTTTGAGTCAATGAATCGTAGACTGGAGACTGGATCTTTTGAGTCAATGAATCGTAGACTGGAGACTGGATCTTTTGAGTCAATGAATCGTAGACTGGAGACTGGATCTTTTGAGTCAGTGAATCCATCGACAAGACACTCGCTCTGTCTGGATCTTTTGAGTTGATCAGTTATTGACTGTAGAGTGGATCTTTTGAGTCGGTGAATCATTGACTGGTAGTGAATCTTTTGTATTAGTGAATTGTTGACTGGACAATGGATCTTTTTAATCAGTGAATCATTAACTAATGACTGAAATTTTTTGTAGACTCACTCTGACAGGATCTTTTAAGTCTGTGACTGGATGATTTGAGTCAGTGAATGATTGACTAAATATTTGCTCTTACTGAATCTTTTGAGTCATTAAGTGGAGACTGGATCTTTTGAATTAGTAAATTTTCAACTGGACACTCGATCTTTTATGTCAGTGAATCATTGACTAGAGACTAGAATTTTGTACACTGACTCGGACAAGATCATTTGAGTCCATGACTGGAGATTTACTCTGACTGGACCTTTTGAGTCATTGACTAGATTTTCTTTGACTGGATGATTTGAGTCAGTGAATCATTGACTAAATACTCGCTCTTACTGGATCTTTTGAGTCATTAACTGGAGACTGGATCTTTTGATTCAGTGAATCCATCAACAAAAGACTCGCTCTGACTGATCTTTTGAGTCAATCAGTTGTTGACTGAAGACTGGATCTTTTGAGTCAGTGAATCATTGACTAAATACCTGCTCTGACTGGTTGAAAGCTGATCGACTGGATATTTTGAGTCATCAAATCATTGACTAATCTTTTGAAATAGTGAATTGTCAGCTGTACACTGGATTGTTCAAGTCAGTGCATCATTAAATTAAGATTAGCTTTGACTGGATCTTTTGAGTTAGTGAATCATTGACTGGGACTGGATCTTTTGCGATAATTAATTGTTAAGTGGAGACCAGATATTTCACTAAGTCGATGAAAGACTGGATCTTTCGAGTCAATGAATCGTTGGCTGGAAACTGGATCTTTTGAGTCTGTGAATAGTTGACTGGACACAATCTTTTAAGTCAGTGAATCATTGACTGGAGGCTCGCACTGACTGGATCATTTGAGTCACTGAATCATTGACTGGACAATGGATATTTTGAGTCAGTGAATCAACAAATAAAGATTTGCTTTGACTGGATCTTTTGAGTCAGTGAATCATTGACTGGACAAAGGATCTTTTGAGTCAGTGAATAATTAAATGAAGATTTTCTTTGACTGGATGATTTGAGTCAGTGAATCATTGACTAAATACTCGCTCTTACTGGATCTTTTGAGTCATTAACTGGAGACTGGATCTTTTGATTCAGTGAATCCATCAACAAAAGACTCGCTCTGACTGATCTTTTGAGTCAATCAGTTGTTGGATCTTTTGAGTCAGTGAATCATTGAATAAATACCTGCTCTGACTGGTTGAAAGCTGATCGACTGGATATTTTAAGTCATCAAATCATTGAGTAATCTTTTGAAATAGTGAATTGTCGACTGGACACTGGATCTTTTAAGTCAGTGCATCACTGACTAGAGACTGGAATTTTGTAGACTGACTCTGACAGGATCTTTTGAGTCAGTGAGTCATTGACTATAGATTTGCTCCGACTGGATCTTTTAAGTCGGTTAATCATTAACTGGAGTTTGAATCTTTTAAGTTAGTGAATCCATCAACGAGACTCAGTCTGACTGGATCTTTTAAGTCAATCAGTTGTTGACTAGAGACTTGATCTTTTTCGTAAGTGAATCATTGACTAAATACTTGCTCTCACTGGCTGAAGGCTGATCAACTGGATCTTTTGAGTGAGCGAATCATTGACTGGAGATTTGCTCTGACTGGATCTTTTGAGTCAATGAATCGTTGACTTGAAACTGGCTCTGAATAGATCTTTTAAGTAAAAGATCGTTGACTGGAGACTGAATCTTTTGAGTCAGTGAATCCGTCGACAAGAGACTCGCTCTGACTGGATTTGCTGAGTTAATCAGTTGTTGCCTGGAGACTGGATCTTTTGAGTCGTTGAATCATTGACTGGAAACCGGATCTTCTGAATCTGTGAATTTTCAACTGGAGTCTCACTTTGATTGGATCTTTTGAGTCAGTGAATTGTTGACTAAATACTTGCTCTAACTGGATCATTTGAGTCATTGACTGTAGATTGGCTCTGACTGAATCTTTCGAGTCAATGAATTGTTGGCTGGAAACTGGATCTTTTGAGTCTGAATATTTGACTGGAGACTTACTCTGACTGGATCATTTAAGTCAGTGAATCATTGACTGGACAGTGGATATTTTGAGTCAGTGCATCATTAAATGAAGATTCCCTTTGATTGGAACTTTTGAGCCTGTGAATTATTGACTGGACAATGGATCTTTTGAGTCAGTGCATCATTAAATTAAGATTCGCTTTGACTGGATCTTTTGAGTTAGTGAATCATTGACTGGGACTGGATCTTTTGCGATAATTAATTGTTAAGTGGAGACCGGATATTTCACTTAGTCAATGAAAGACTGGATCTTTCGAGTCAATGAATCGTTGGCTGGAAACTGGATCTTTTGAGTCTGTGAATAGTTGACTGGACACAATCTTTTAAGTCAGTGAATCATTGACTGGAGGCTCGCACTGACTGGATCATTTGAGTCAGTGAATCATTGACTGGACAATGGATATTTTGAGTCAGTGAATCAACAAATAAAGATTTGCTTTGACTGGATCTTTTGAGTCAGTGAATCATTGACTGGACAAAGGATCTTTTGAGTCAGTGAATAATTAAATGAAGATTCACTTTGACTGGATCTTTTGAGTTAGTGAATCATTGACTCGGACTGGAGCTTTTGAGTTAATTAATTGTTAAGTGGAGACCGGATATTTCAATGAGTCAATAAAAGACTGGATCTTTCGAGTCAATGAATTGTTAGCTGGAAACTGGATCTTTTTGAGTCTGTGAATAGTTGACTGGACACAATCTTTTAAGTCAGTGAATCGTTGACTGGGACTGGATTTTTAGAATCAGTGATTCATTGACTGGTAATTTGCTCTGATTAGATCTTTTGACTCTATGAATCGTTGACTGGGACTGGATCTTTAGAGTCAGTGAGTCATTGACTGGTAATTTGCTCTGATTAGATCTTTTGACTCTATGAATCGTTGACTGGAGACTGAATCTTGTTAGTCAGTGAATAGTTGACCGGAGACTCACTATGAACTGCTCCTTTGAGTTTGTGAATCATTTACTGGTGAAAGACCCTACCGTGTGCTCTTATTTTCATATAAACACTCACCTAATATAGTTCCAGGCAGGTTTTGATCACATTACATTTCCATATCCCTATGCTGAATGAGATAAAACACAGATACAACAGCCAAAAATCACATCAAAACAAAATAGAATTTGGATAAACAATAAATAAAAGCTCTAAACAGTGTTTTCTAGTGTGGCAACCATAGTAAAAGTGGTTTAAAGTGTGAATAACTTTAAAATTCACCACATAATAGTGTAAAAAGTTGTTTTTTAGTTTACACTTGCTCCTTTTTTCTCTCCATAATGATCACTAGGCAATAGGCTCTGCAGATAAAGGCAGTCCCGCAGAGGAAGGTGCAGCGCAGATCTTTCATGTATTAGATTTACAACTCCATCACAGCGTTTTAGATGCCTGTAATGTGCAGCATAAGGCTGGCAGAGAGGAGAGCCGCCTCGGCACTCCACAATTTATAAATCAACAGTCTTTTGCTTTATGAACGCTGTCTAAAGCAAATAGAGGCTTTTATGAAGGTCACGGATGGCGATTGCAGCTCCTTTCTCAGGATCACTGAAGGCAAATAGATCAGACAGCCGTAAAACAGAGGTAAATTGTGGCCCTGAGCGAAGCGATCCACGCTGGAACACGGCCACTGTGTGCTCATACAGCAGCAAATGACAAAAGACATATAGTAAATACTGAATAAGTGGCCAGAGGTCATATACTGAGCGCCAAGGACAGCTTTACAGCTACTACTCTTATGGGGTGACCTTGTGCTCCATCCGTGTGTTTTATAATGAGAAAATATACACTTTCAATTCGCAGGTCCTTATAAAAGATTGTGTTTGAAATTACCTTACGTATGCTTTTACTATCAGAGAAAGAGGAGTGAATACAAATACTTATACACACGTGCACACATTGTAAAAAATGCTGGGTTCCACGCAGTGTTAGTTTTAAAAAAAATTTATAATCATATTTTATTGGATTTTTCAAGAACGATCACAAAGAAACACTTACACAATCACACAACACTAGTGATCAGAAGTGCGGATCATTTTACTGACTCGGATCTTTGAGTCTCGTTCATCAAGATGAACGAATCTTTTTTCGAGTCATTTCGTTCATTTGGTTCAATTTGCCAAAATATTATTAAAATGTTACGAATTGCTTCCAAACACATCTACAACTAACCCAAAAGGTTGATCACACAATAAATAAGTCATAAATAGAAAACTATAAGAA